TAAAGTTTGCAAGCAGGAAGGCTTTTTTGTAGGAGACATACTTATGCATCTTCTGCAATAAAAATGTCCCCCCTCCCTGCTTGCAAACTTGTTTAGAGTGTACACTGAACTAAGCATTCGTGGCTCAGTATACAATTTCAGCACACCTCAATGCCGGGAAGAATCTACTCCTTTACCAGACCAGCCAATTAAGATGACTGAAGACACTAAACTGGACTAAACACCTGGTCTTGAAGTGGTTAAAAAAAAGAGGCAAGTGTCCCTTAGTTTAGTTTGTATTTAAGAAAGCTGCCATCATTGACCTTCTGAAAATCCTTGTTACCTGGCTGCTATTCTGACCCACTAGTTTCAGTACTTTTTGAGCATGGACTCAAAACCAGTATGCAGATCAGAGAAGTGGGAGTAGTATCAGAGGTCTTACTATGTATACTTGCTCTGGGTTAGTGACAAAGTATTGCCAAAGGGCCAGCATGACATTTAGAATCTAGCATTTGCAGAATGGGAAGTCAGCTATGGCAGCCTTCATGTCTCTCTTAGAAAAAGTTTCCTTTAAAGAAAATCTCGGGGCACACCAAAAATCGCTTTGCAGTGTGACTACAACACCCCCCCCCCCCCCATGGCAAGAGTGGAGTGCTTGTTTATGTCTAGGGTCTGCAATAAAGCAGGTTTACTTACCTGGTCTCCATCCCTCCAGCAGTCAGCGCCGTCCTCTTCTCCTGTGATTAGCTATGGATTGTCCCTCAGCATCCTCACATCTTAATGCAGGTCTATGGGACCTGCATGAGACAGGATGACATCAATGGTCCTTAGACCACTGGAGCTCAGGAGAGAAAAGCCACAGGACCGGTCTAGCAGCCAGGAGAAAGCAAGGATCAGATAAGCAAATCTGTTTTACTACAGCCCCTAGATGTAAACAAGCACTTGACCCTTGCAGTGCAGGGGTAGTTTTTTTGTTTGTTTCGAGATGGACTTTAATATCCGCATTAGCAATATCAGCTACCCAGGTAAAGAAATCATCCAGTCCACTAAAGTGGACAGCGTGCGGTTTTGGTTAAAACTGACCTGTCGAGGGATGTATTTGCAATTTTCCCTGAGGATGCGGCTTCTGATCAGCACCTGACTGGAAAAAAAAGAAACATGAAGGTTTAACAAAGGCTGAATAGAGTTTTCAAAAGGGCAGAGTTCTATTCACAGCTCTCCAAAATTAGCCTTAATGTATAGCCTAATGCAAAGCCTAGTGATGAGGAACCCAAACTTCTGCAGTTGTCACCAACAGGTGGTAAGGGGGGACTCTTCCATAGAACATGGACTAGTATTCCTGGAGGAAGGGCAACTGTGTCAGCCTAATGATTGCAAATAACAGGGGCCACATATGGCTGTTGAAAATATAAAAAAAAGAAAGCATAACTTAGGATCCCAGTGCCTAGCCCATAAACGATGGTACTTGTGCACCCCTTAGATCCCAGCAGTCTGCACTTGAAGTGGGAAGATTGACGTGTGTTTTCGTTGCCCACCTCATGTAACATGTCCCCAGTTTTGTACAGCACCCAACCATACATACCATTTTCTGACATGAGAATGAGGGACGTGCTAAGAGCACATACTTTAGAGGTCAGATATGGCAAAATGACAGATCGGGAGCTCTCCATCCACTTCAGAGCCCCTGCTACATACCTAGGAGCCACACATGACCAAGGAAGAGAACAGCTGTGATAGCTGAGGGCCCACCGTATAACTAGGAGCCCCTTCAGTCAGCTCTAATTGCTCACACATACATCTAAAGTCCCCTACCTGTCACTCAGGGGCTCCAGCTCGGTCTTCTTATCCCCCTGTAACAGGCGGGTGACATGGTGGCGGAGGAGGCCGCTGTAGAAAGTGATAAAGACAATAGGCAGAACCACCCACAGTCGAATGCTGGAATCCAGCAACAACTCGGGCGTCGCCATCTTGACCCGGACTAGCACCGGAAACCGGACGGCATATGTTGCCTAGCACTTCCGATCCCCTAACTGCGCTTCCGCCAGGGTCCAACATGGCCGCTCGCCCGTCCCCGTCCCTAACGTAACGTCCGGAAGTGGCCCGCGTGCTGCTTGTGCCATGGAGGAGAAGGTGCTGCGATACGAAGCTTTCGTGACCGACACCCTGCAGCGAGACCTGAGGTGTGAAGCACGTGATTGGTCTTCCTACCACGGGATGTCTCCCCCCCTTCTCTAGTCTACACAGAAACACGTGACTCCCTCTTCTGCTTGTCACCTGACTTCTTGTTGGCAAGAACTGGCCATATACATAGAGATTGGGCTGTACAACCCAAACCAAACTAAGTCAGTCAGATCTTCGGGGATCCGAGCGATTCTATGATTAGACGGACAAATCAAAAGTTTCATGATGACCAGATACATGTGTCTGAGCTCAGGATGGAGTCAGCGTGGCATTGTGGGATGAAACTGGGTCTACATCACCCTGAATAAAGACTTCAGATAAGCATCTCACAATCCATCAGCTTATCATATAATATATATATATATATGGACATATATGGATGGTGCTGATGATGATCCTGGAGCTTTAATAGTCTAGATGTATGGCAGCGGACATTGTGAAGATTGGTGCTCAGTGGGTGTCCCCCAATGTTGTCCACCAGTGATGTGCGGGGGCTCGGTGTGAACACAGTTCACCTGAGTTTTCCCATGCCTGTGCAAAAATGTCACTGACATACACCCCCCACCCAGGCCCAATCAAATGTACAATCTTTTTTTCTGCTCTGACAAGGAGAGAATATGAGTGAATAACAGTATACACAGCCAGCCCTGTGAGATAAAGCTGTATTACTATAACACCTAAAGAATGGAGATACAGATTCTTCCAAAAACGACAAATACATGGCTTGTCATTGCCAGCCTTGCTACCGGTAGTTCTCTGGCTGTTTTGATAATGCACACTTCTGTACTTAAAGTAGAACTGAAGTCCAAACTTTTTTTTTTTTAGTTTTGAACAGCGTAATGGAGGGTTTATGACCCCTGTTTGTTTGCCCTCTGTGTCTCATTAGGGAGATTTCCTTTCACTGCCTGTCAGATAGCCACAACAGGAAGTGAAAGGAAATCCCTGAAAAGTTAGTAACATTCCTAGAGGATGGAGCAGACAGAATCTGGAACGGTTGCCCATGGCAACTAATCAGCATCGCTCTTCGGTTTGCTCAGGTAAGATTTGAAAATGAGAGAGAAGCTGATTGGTTGCAGTGCAAATCTGCTCCAGATTTTGGTAAATTATCCCCTAGTGTTTAGCAGGGTTACTAGAACTAGTGTCCCAGCTGGAGGATTTCCCTTCTATTTCTGTTCTGATGACAACCCAAAATTTGGGATTTTCTTTCACTTTCAGTGGTAACTTTCACCAGGACAAATAGAGGGGGGTGAATCTCCCTAATGGGGACACAGACGGCACTAAAAACCAGACAGGAGTTCTAATTCCACCACTTCTAATTCTCCACTTGATCTAAAAATAAATGTTGGGGCTTTAGGTGTCAATAAACAGAACTAACCACCCTCCCCCTTCCTTCTTTCCCACATGAGATGGTGATTGGCTGCTCTGGAACCAAGTGCTGAATTGTGGAAGATAGTGGGGCATGCTGGGTGAACTGGGGCAGCGCTAAGCAAGAGCATACACTTTATACCTTGCTGGACGTAACAAGAGCAAACAGCATGGGAACTATTGAGCAATTTTACTCTTGGCTGACCACCTAGAATCATAGGTGGGTGACCCTGTTGTGGAACTACAATTCCCATGTAGCACTGCAAGCCTGACAGTTACAGGCATGACTCCCAGAGGCATGTTGGGGTTTGTAGTTAAAGTACAGCTGGAGGGCCAGAGTTGCCCACCCCTGGCCTAGATGATGACAGAATTATTTAAAGGCTCGTGGCATTTCTTCCTAGAAGAGGGATTCTGCTTACAATCTCTGTATTGCCTGTATGTAAGTGTTTAATTTATTAGCCAGGGTTAAATATAATTAAATCATTTTCATGACAGGAGAGTGTTGGAGAACCGGGACAGCGTCTACGAGAAGATCAGCCAGTACTTGCAGCTGAAGAACGTCATTGAGAGGTTGCAGGTAAGGATCTCCAGTATGATGGTACAGGAGTTTAGTCCACTCACATATGAATTGATTTTTTTCCCTCTCTCCTCTCCATCCGAATGCACCCTCCCTTCCTTATCTCCAGATGGATACTTACCTACATGCCACAGCTCGGCACAATGCTTACATCCCTCTGGTAGAGGCTCAGTTGCACTGCCTGCCCTGTGCAGTCAATCTCCATAGACATCTAGGCAGGAGATGCCTGGGAGGGTTTTACCAGCAGGGTGTAAACATTGTGGATTGAGTTATATATTAGGGATGCACAGATACTTTTCATGTACCCGTGCCGATAATTGACATTTTCATGAGAACTACCAGGGTTGCAGCTGGGACCTGACTGTGGCACTCCACCACTGTCCTGAAATCATTAGTCTGTATTGTTTTAGAAAAACTGTCACATGACACTAAACAAAAAATCTGTAGACCTGTGATCATTTCTGGTGTATCATTTGGCTTCTAACTATGTTTCTCAATACAGGAATTAGACTCTGGACCTTTAAATACACAAGTGGATTTGGGCTGTAACTTCTATGTGAACGCGGAAGTGTAGGTATTCTTTACTGTTGTGAGTGTTCTGAAAATGTTCTGAATGTTGTGAAACTTCTACTACACCATTAAAATACATACACGGGAGCTGTTTTACCTGCCAAAAGATGTGTAGTTCCATTCAGTTGATAGGCAGAAGAGCCAGCCAGGTGACCAGACATTTCTCTGCTGCAGTTCATGAACACAGTGAGGTCATGTCCCTGCTCTAAGCCTGTCTTCAGTGTTTGCTTCTAATAAGCGGCCATGGAGAAATTATTCCAGGTTAAAGCTTTGTGAATTATGAATTATGGCAGTTTTAGGGCAATTAATAGATATTTAACCCCTAAAACAAAAATGCAATATATTGCGGTTTACCAGTCTTTAGATGTGCTGCCTGCATTAGTTTCCATGTTTTAGGCTAAGATCATTTTCAGCAAGTACAGAAAATAACCGTTGATCTTGACAGAATTGAAGTATCACTGTCACATCCTGTAAGCTGAAATGAAAGGAAAACATTGTTCTCTTCCTTCTGTAAACTCCTAATTACACCCCTTCCCCAGGAGGATGTAAAGAAGAGAGGAAGACATATTTGAGAAGTGAAGGAGTAAGCATAGCCATCCAGGGAAAGGAAGTGTGTTATTTGAAGGATAACCAGGTGAAAATAAAGGGGATGGCCGGGGGTGAGAAAAAAAGACTAATAAGCTGCAATATATCACATGTTTGTGTTGGTTTAGATACCCTTTAATGCTTTGTTGTGTGTGTTGTTGTTTTTAAAGTGCAAATGATGTAACGCTGAATTCCTGGTAGATATTAAAACTAGTTATATGTTTTATTCACTATCATTTAATGTACTTTTCAGTGCAGCTAGATGAAGTACATTTATCAGTCTCCCTGTGATTCTCTGTATAGCACAATTAAGTAAGGGACAGGGAATGGCAGAGATAAGAGCCAATCAGATGTGCATCATGCTGATATAATAACAAGGAGTATTAAGAGAGGAGAGCAAGCTGCTGTACTTATCAGTCAGCTGCTTCTCCTTCGCTGTTCAGTTACAGATGGAGGCAGGGAAGTGACCAAGCTGCATTGCTTAACAACTTGCAGAAAACAGTCAGGTCACCAGCCCGGCCGTACTGTCTAAAGTCCAATGAGCGTGCCAAACAAAAGGTTCAGGAGTCTAAATTCCTTTAATATCAGTATTAGTTCACAATAGGATAACACAAAACAGCCAACATGTTTTGGGGGCCTAAAAGTATCTCCCCCTTCTTTAGGGCTCAGATGTTGTAAATGGTTGGACGCATAACCCAAAATAACTTTTAGTTGGGAGTTACAACATGTCAGCAGTCACCTTGTCAGCAGAACGTTGGAGAGCAGCCTTACTGGAGCTAATGTGCCCTGTTATAATCTGACTGACATACTGAAAGATCAAATACAGCGCCTCGTTTTCAAATGTTTGTGGCTGAGCTGTTTAAATCTTAGGACTGCATAGACAAAAATACAAATGATTTGTTGGGTAAAACAGTTCCCATAGATGTATTTCCATAAATATAAAAATATATCAGTATTGCCACCCCTTTCTCGGTATCAATTGACTAAACTATAACCAGTCACCTTCATTCAGTGCTAGTGGGCACAGCACCAGCTAAAGCTTTTAGAATCCTGCACATGTGTAAAGTGTATGCGCTGCGCATCAACCACTTATACAATAAATACAAAACGTGAACTAAAATATAAATATCCAAACAGTAACACTAAATGTCTTTTTATGTGAAAATAATTGTCCACAAGTAGAAAATAAATTGTCATCCATTCAGTAGTTATTGTTTGGATATTTCTATTGTAGTTCATGTTTTGTATTTATTGTATAAGTGATTGATGTGCAGTGCATACACTTTACACATATTTTGAGAGTTAATTACCTTTAGCACAGCTGCACAATCCACAGGGGGAGTTTGTCTATCTTAAGCGCAGATCATTATTGGATTCATTTAGAATCATGCACGTGCGCTAATCTAAAGAGTGGGTCTGTCTGTTTAATCTGTAAGAATGTCTAATTTCTGCCGCTAATCAAATTAATCATTTTACTGTTTTTTTTTTGCCAGTCCTGACTCATCGAAGATATTCCTGGCTTTGGGTTTTGGATTTTTTGCAGAACTGACGCTGGATGAAGCTCTAAAATTTATTGAAAGAAAGAACAAAATGCTGACTCAGTAAGAAAATCTCTGACAGGGCTAATTATACAAGACTATGTGCATTGTAGCTTAGTACATTTTTTATTTATTTATTTTTTCTTCAGAATTAGTGAAAATCTGACCAAAGATGCTGCAAATATTAAGGCCCATATCAGACTGGTCCTAGAGGTAAGAATTAAGCACCCGCTGTGCACTTATCACTCTGTCAAAGGTGCTTAGATGTTGCATTGCAATGTGCATCAGATAATAAAGGAGTGCAGATTACAGACTCTACAAGTAAAGGTGGCCATACACTGTACAACCATCGCAAGACCTTAGTCTTGCAATGGTTGTAAAGGGATTAAAAAAACGTACGATCTGCCCATCTTGGACGGGCGGATCGCACTCTCGATCATCGCAAGCCACGCCCCCTGAGGGGCGGCTTGCGATGACTGTAATGAGGGGCGGGCTTACGCTGACTGCAAACGGGCAGTGTGCGCGTGCGCACACCGGCCCGTTCGGCAGTTGTCGAACCAGCAGGCCACCAACTCGCCGAGAATCGTACGATTCCCGGCGGGTTTTCAAACATGCTGGTTCGATGGAAGACGTGCGACCGTACAGTAGAAACGGTCGCATGCCTTCCATACACTGCACGATTCTCGTACGATCGCAGGATTTCCCGCGATTCTCGTACGAGAATCGTGCAGTGTATGGGCACCTTAAAGGAGGATAGAGACCTGTACCAAGAAGGTTCAGAATATCTTCAGCGGTTTATATGGATGACTTGAACCAAATCTCCAATCAACTTCAAAAAATTAAATCCCAACTAAACACTGTTCTAATGTCCTCCTTATATTGTAAAGTGCTGCGCAAACTGATGTCGTTATATAAATCCTGTAAAATAATAATAATATTAATTACTGTAATGCAGTCAGGCTGCATATACAGCAATCAATATTCTGCTCATTTATTTATTTTTGTTGGTAAATGCTTCAGAAAGGGTTAAGAGGTGTTGGCAGCACATAGGAGAGTTGGACACACAGGATACAGCGGTCAGACACGTTTCCCTGCACACTGCTCCAATGAACAGTGCTGCTCAGAGATCATGAGCACTGTTTCACTCATCAGCTATGAGGAAAGATTATTTAAACTGAATTTGATCTCTCTGGAGAAGAGGCAATTAAGGGGGGACATGATCACTATGTATAAATACATAAATGGTCCACATAGTGAGCTTGGTGCCAAATTATTCACTTTAAGATCACTGCGGAGGACAAGGTGGCACTCTTTGCGTCTGGTGGAAAAGAGGTTTAACCTTTGCATACGAAAAGGCTTCTGCACAGTTAGAGCTGTGAAAATGTGGAATAAACTCCCTCAGGAGCTACTTCTAGCTAGCTAACTTAACTCTTTTAAAAAGAATCTGGATGTATTCCTAAATGCACAGAAAATTAGTAATTATTAACTTCGTATAAGTATAATAAGCACCAGAGATTGTTGATCCAGGGAATATCTAATTGCCTTATGGGATCAGGAAGGAATTTTTTCGCTTGGAGCAAATTGAACCATGCTTTATAGGGTTTTTTTTTGCCTTCCTCTGGATCAACAGGGTGTAGCTGTGGGCATAGCATTCTGTTTCAGGTTTTTGGGTTTGTTTCTCTTATCTCTATAGGTAGATGGACTTTTTTCAACCTGGCTAACTATGTTGATTAGAGCAGACCCTAAGCGGTAATTTGCTTTTAAATTGGGGTGGTTTTTACTCAGTTTTGTTACCATGTATGGTCAGCATCAACCTCCTGATTATAAGACACTCTCATAGAGAGTACACAAATGTACTTTTCACAGAAAAAGAAAGTTATTATTATTATAATACAGGATTTATATAACGCCAACAGTTTGCTCAGCGCTTTACAATATAAGGAAGACATTACAACTACAATACAGTTCAAGCAAATATGGTAAGGAGGGCCCTGCCCCTGAGGGCTTAGAATCTAAAAGGGAGGGGCCAGTGATACATGAGGAGGTAGCTGTGTGGGGAGGAATTGTTTGAGAACGTGATAGTTCAGTGGTTAGTTTAAGGTGGGATAGGCTTCCCTGAAGAGATGAGTCTTTAGGGATCGCCTAAAGTCAATCGGAGTGGGAGATAGACGGACAGGTTGGGGAAAGTTCTACTTTTTACTCATGAAAAACGTCTTGAAAATTTGCAGGGTCTGCGGGAATTACAAGAGTTGCCTAATGAGTGAGCCAGGACCATAACAACAAGGGATCAGAAGTCTTATCCCCTCGTGTCATTTTGCTGGATGATGGCGATCTCCCCGCAGGAACTGAGGAGGCCCCTTTATGAGTGTGTTTGTTTACAGTCCGTTTACAAGTCCAGTACTTCTGTTGTATTTTCTCTAGAGACCTGTGTTGCAGGGTAATAAATTCAAGATAAACCAGGATGTGGTTGGCTTGATGGTACTTTTCAAAGAGCCTTTATTTTGGAAGGGCAAATTCTTCTAACAGGTAAAGGGCAACCACTTACTCGTAGGTGCCCATTTATCAACACATTTTGCACTGTGCTTTTTTCCCCTCGATTATTTAATTCTTTGTTGTAGCAAAACTTAACAGTGAGACATTCCAGTGTTCTAAACAGAAAACTGCCACAACTGATCTTCACTATGGGAGAAAAAAAACAAACAGCAATATGAAAACTTGCCTTGACAGACATGCCAGAATTGTGTTTCAGGCCTCATGCTACGTGCTGCCTTCTATTCCTTGGGCAGCTGTGGGGAAACTCAACTTTCCCATTTGGTCTAGGTTATCCATTCTTTCCCAGGTCAGTCAAAACTTTAAATTTTTTTAGTTGAAGTGAAAATGGGTCAAGTCCTTTGTCAGGATGTTTATTGATTTTCAATCTCTTCCTGTGTGGTTTCTGAAACAGGAAATGATCAGAGACGGCACTAAAGCCACTTTCTTTCTCGTCCATTGAGTCCACAGGGGGATTTGGAAAAAAAAAACTGTAGGCCAGCCCAGGATAACCCCTCCTACTACCAGCATGTTCCTGGTTTTTGCTTGTGTCCTAGGAGGATAGACATTTAGACTAATCTATTTTTTTGCTAGCAATTTTTCTCCAATCAAGACTTGTCTCTACATAGCTGCTGGACATTGCGGCTATCCAATTCAGCCTAGCTTTTGGAGCTGCATCTGAACCCACCTGGTCTGGACAATGCTGGGCACTGGGTTCCACGCAAAGGTGCTTTCCAAAACAAGTTCTGTTAAAAAGTTAGCCTAGGAGTGCTTTCCAGGTCCAGAGCTGCTAAATTGCCTCAGCACTTAGCCTATCTCTAATGACACACTCTGTAAGTAGGCTGATTGGTGCTGAGCATCAGGAGCTACCTCATTAGTTGGATCACTGAGCACCTTTAGATTTCTTGCTTGCCACCTATTCCTTACACAGAAGGGTTTAACACTGAGGGACTGAACACTTATATCATCCGCTGGGTGGGGTGTTGCAAACGTGCTCTGCACTCTTTTTCATCAAAGAAACATGCCAAAGAAACATCTCCCCGCTGTTGCATCTACACTGCAAAAAGCCACGTGGAACTTTGGTCTTCGAACTGTTCCTGCTGCTCTCCTACAGTGACTGTGGTCACCTCTGGCCATCCAACCCTCACCTGCTACCAGGTTGGGATTCGTGAGTGCCTGCCTGCTTGCCTTATAACCTGAACTGTACGTAGTCTTACTGCCACGCTGTCGCAACATGTCTGATTCTACACATACCAGGGACAGTCCTAGAGTTCCAGGGGCCCCAGCTGACACTAATTTACCTAGTGCCCTACACTAGGTAAGTATCCGACAGTTATGGCTGACATCTGCAGCCTGCAATCATGTTGCCTTCTCTCCGAGTCTATCCCATCTTCACTGTTCTCTAGCTCTGTGAAGTGTGGTAGGCTCCTCTGCCCTTTGGCCGAGGTTTTTACTACAGTCATAATGACTTTATGGGCCGCTTCACACTTATTGCAGTGCGCTCCATCACGATTAGCCCGCAGTGCGATCGCCCGCACCAGAACGTGTGGCACAACAATGCCTGCGTTTAGGTCCAGTGCGATCGCTAAAAAGTGCTTGTGCTATGTTCCTCCAATGTCTGGATGTGTTTCAAATTGTGATTGTCTATCTTTCAGCCACTGCTTCTTTTGCGTATAAAGCAAGTGTTTCCCAGCTTTGCAAAGCTGCCACCTGGCCCCCGGTCACACAATCTCTACCAAGTGGATATTTCAGCCTCATCTTTTGACAGCTTTGTGTCATTTCATTTGTGTCTTCAGGTTGCATTTTAGGCTGTAGGCTATCTTCAGTTTCTGTTGTTTCTTGGGCCTGTGAGCATTTGTTTGCTGGGTTACTCACCCCTAAGTTGGACTCCTTTCGGACGTTAACATTTTTTAGGACCTCCTATGATCCTCAATCGACTCCAAAAAAATTGGATTTGTACTCACTATAAAATTATTTTCTTGGATTCCATTGAAGGGCACAGTTCCAATCCCTGTGTTTATGATCATACTTTTGCTACTGCTTAGCTACAACCTTTCTACAAACCTTAGATGTGCTGGTAGTTGTAGGCCCACCTGTAGGTGGCAGTATAACCCAAAGGTTAAAGACTTCCTGTGTTCCTCAATGGATTCCAAGAAAAGGATTTTACAGTGAGTATAAATATCCTGTTTTAGTTATACATAAAGTAGGCAATTTTTAAAACTCCTGTCAGGTTTTGTTTTACTGTTTTCTTGGGGACATTTCCCTCAATTGGAAATCTCTCCAAAATTAACGAAATCCCCTCTAAGACAACTCATTGTGTTGTCCCCAATGGAAGATTTCCTCTCCTGATCTGGTGACTGTAACAATTTGCATTTTCCATCATCATGAAAAAAGAGGGTGGAGACCAAAAAAGTTGCACAGCAGGTTTTTGGAAACTGATCGCTCTTATCTGTGCTCATGTGAGGGCAGAAGTCATTTCAGCAGAAGAGAGGCATTCAATGCTCGGAAGGTTGTCATTGGAATCCTCTGTATACCTCACCATAAGCTATCTATCTATCTATCTATCTATCTATCTATCTATCTATCTATCTATCTATGCCTTACCTTAATGGAACAACCATTAAGCCAGAACTCCTGATCTGTTTGAGTCAGTGGCCAGGAACAAGTAAAGTATAGCAGCCAGAAGCTCAGTGTGACAGCCTGGCAGGAAGCATTTTTAGAAACAGGTGAGCAATGGCAACCTCCATATTTCTCTCACCGCAGTTTTCTTTAACCACTTCAAGACCAGGTGTTTAGACCCCCTTCCTGGCCAGGCCATTTTTCAGTGTTCAGCAAGCTTTGTGTTGACTGTCCCATGTTGCGTTGCCCTAAATCGCCCAGTAGCATGAGATTAAGGGCTTAGGTACAGGTAAGAGTTTAATCTCACAGTTCAAGAGATTTAACCCCACATTGCCAAAAGCCTTAACTGATCAGTGTATAACAACCATTGATTGAAGTAGTCCAGAACTCAAGAGTGGATATTTGCTTTGTTAAAGGGAACATCTAGAAATGTTAATTATACCTATGCAAAACCCTGAAAAATCTACTTAGAGCTCCTCTGCCCACAGCCTCATATCCTTCTATCTGCAGTGTGAGATATAAGATATTGCTGCTATTTATCAATGTTTTCATCTAAGATTCATACACTTTCACCTAGGATTCAATGCAAAATGTGTCAAATTGATGTGAATCTTGGATGAAAGCATTGATAAAAGGCCCCCTGGAGTGAGATTTGATAATGTTACTATTGTGCTACTAACTGTTCTTGCTGGAGTCTCTGACATGGACAGGAAGCAAAACCTTGCCTTCACCTCCACACAGAGACATGTAGAACAAGGAACGGTAAGTCAATCATTGGGAAAGATCAGCCAAAGGGAGGCCACAGGTGATACTATTGCCTTTTTGTGGCACAGCTTTCAGTACCTGTAAAGTCTTTTATGTAGTTGAGCCCCCAAATCACCCATGTAATTTTAGCCATGGAGCTACAGTTACATAACATAGGGTAGATACAGTATATGGTAGGAGAGTGTCGCTCTTTAGTTTCAGTAATGCTGTGCTTTAGCCAAAGGGTTAAATTGTAATGCATGACACAAGGGCTAAAGAGGTTTAATGTGAAGAGTACTAGGTCTAACGGGGGTTAAGTGATGCTCTGCAGGCCACTTTGGCTAAAGCGGTTTAATTATGCTATGCATAGCACTGGGGATAATTGGGCTAAATATGCTGTTCAGGGCACTGGGGCTAATAGGGGTAACAGGGCTTTGTAGACAACTAGAGATAATGGGGTGAAGTGATGCTGCGCAGCACACTTTGGCTAAAGGGCTTAAATGATTATGTGCATGGTAATGGAGCTAAAGGGGTTAAATGATGATCTGCATTGTATTGGGGATGAAGGGGTTATGTGGTGCTTTTCATTGCAATGGGGCTAATGGAGTTTAATAATGATGTGCATGGCACTTGGGGGGGTAAAGGGATTACTGTATTATGTTGTCCAAGGCCAAGGGGGTAAATTATATTTTTGTGGACACTGAGGCCAAAGGCGATACATTATATTTATACATGGCATGCACCAAGGCCAAAGTTGTAAAGGACACTGAGGCCAATGTGGTATGTTGTACAGAACACTGAGGCCAAAGGGGGTACCATATTCTACAGGGCACTGAGGTTGAAGAGGTAAATTATATTGTACAGTGCATTGAGTCCAAAAGGGATAAAATATATTTTACAGGGCACTGAGGCCAAAGGGGTTCAATGGTGTTGCACAGGACACTGAGGCAAAAGAGGTTACACTATGTTGCCCAGGGCACTGAAGAACAAAATTGTAATACATTTTAGTTCAGTTGTTTGATGTGGATGGTACTTTACCTTTCTTATTTTAAGCTAACTACATTATCTGCAAGTACAGAAAAAATCCTCTTAATCCTGATATAAATCCAGTGTCCTTGTAGCTTCCTGTGCACTGAACTGAAATCTCACACAATGTTATCAGCTTTTCCAGTTGTCTTCTACAGCAGTGTTCCCCAACCTACCGGTCCGCGGATCAAATGGTACCGGGCCGCATGGTCTCAGTGCGGTCCGGTCATGCAATATATGGCAGTTCACGGTCCCGGTGTTCGACCACCGGGGCCCCGCACTGCCAACGGGCTTCACAGTGAGGGGGCGGGTCCTGTGACTCACCTCCCCTCCCGGCCGCGTCTATACGTCTCTACGTTAGAATGTGTGACCAGTGACGTGGTCACACATTTTAACGTAATCTCGCCCAGTTTTTCGGTGGTGGAATAGGTGAAGAATTCAAAAGCTTTCATTTTTTGGTGTAACTGTATTTTATTTTGAAGGCATTTTTAAATACAATTAAATTAAAATTATTAAATCAAAACAATCTAAAATATAAACAATCACCGTCCCCCCCTCCACGGAGGAGGTGGTTG